CAATAAGAAGTTTTTGATAACACGTTAATTCTGGGACAGTGAAACGGTATTTCTACTATTTCTACGGTGTTATGAAAATATTACCCTGTCCAAGACACACAAAAAAATTATATCGGTCTCTTTTATCTAAATTATATAAGACAATTTCGGGTGAAATGTATATCCTGTTTAAGACAGCAAGGCCAAAAACCATACCCTGGCCAGCGGCACGTCCCCGTATAGCAAATATATGGGAGAGGTTTGGAGACAACTTTTCCTATGGATTTTCCGATAGCTAATCTATGAATTTGAGAAATGAATACAAACCCATGCTTGTGTTTCATTAAAGTTTATTTTTAAACAAAGATATGAATCTAATAAAAAACTTTACTATTACATACAAAAGATAACAAGAATCTTGTAATTACCTTACTTCCAAACTCCTTGACAAATGTTTTAATACTTTCTAAATTATCGCTTGCGACAAATATCCTGTTGATAGTTGGTTTATTATGTAAGAAGTCTTTGATGTTTTGTATGTAAGCATTAAGAGGAACCAATCGTCCATTGTCCGTCTCTAATCCATGATCAGTTCCTCTCACGTGAACAGCAACTACGTGATACTTGTCCAGGTACCTGGAATAAAACTGGTCCACCATCTTCTGAATCTTTGGTTGTAATTTGACGTACTTTTGGATCAGCTGGTTTGTTTGTGTTTGAACAGCACGAGTGATGATTCCTAAACCATTAAATCCAATTGCTGTTCTCTTTCGAAAGCTGAGGTTCACCAAATTTGACATAATCATCCTCTCCTTCCATACGTTTACCAGACCTTTGTCAATACCGAGTTTATTGAGCTTTAAAAGAGGTGCACCAGGATCTGCTAAACACAAAACTGCTCTGGCTTTTTCCTCTATTTTTGGATTTACAGGCTCAAAATACATTTCCCAGGCGTTGATTGTTGGATCTTTGGGGCAGACAGTTCCACATAATCGCCAGAAGATTGTCGGTAATGCTCCAAGTTTCTCGCAGAAGCTAATGTGCTCTAGTGTGTATAGAAGAATGGCTGCCAAGCCTGCATTTGGACATGCCGTCACAAAAAGTTCTGAAGCACAAGCGAGATTGATAGCAGCATTTTCGTTTTTGCTAAAATTGTTTACTTTGATTGCCATTATGTTGCTCTCCTTTAGGTAATGTTTGAAAGTCTCAAGATTGTTGATGTTAACTTGTTTGAGCTTTTGATGGTACGCTCTCTTTTCAAAGTCTTGTAGTGTTTTAAGGAAATGATACAGGCACAGCAGAAAAAAAACACTGGACGCTAAAAAGACAGACCGAATTCGCATGTTGGCAGCGGTAATAGCTTGAATTCAGTTTACGAATCGCACAAACTAGACAAGAAATTAGCATGAATATTCCAAAACAATGCCTGGTCATCTGCTATTGTTTATKGTCCAGCTGTTGTTTTTGGGCAGTCGATCATCATACAACATTCGTCTGCTTGGATGAGGTTATTCAAACCAGAGTTTCCTTGTGTATGTAATAAAGTGTTTCTTGCGCTTTCACTTCTCTCTAGAGTGCAAGTCACATAAGCATGAAACAATTCTTAACTACGTAGTGCTAAATAAGATTTAGCATAGTTAATAGAGATGGATTTAGTTATCAACTAACTAAGAATTAAGAACAACGCTACAAAGGAATTTAAATGATTGGCATTGTGTTTATGCTTTGTTGAATTCTTAGTTAGTTGATATATAACTAAATCTTATTTAGCAATACACATATTAAGAATTGTTTCATGCTTATGTGACGTGCACTCTAGTATTCATGTCAAATATAAACCAGTGAACAAAGCTCGGGATGATCATCTCACACAACTGATTAAGACGGGATGAGTCTAGCTATGTCAAATAAGCAACGTTTTKCAGGCAAATGAGTTTTGCGAGTAAAATAGCACGATACTGAGGTGCGTACGTGCCCTCTTTGCTTCGTTGAAACAGCTGAAGAGCATTATTTTTATTGTTAAGTTGAAAAAAAGATAATGTCTATAGGAAGTCAACTCTTATTGCATGTCGATAATCCTAGGCGTGCTCGGATGTTTAACATGTCTTTGGCGAGAAGACGCATTAAACTTTACAACATGAAAACCTATAAGATTATAGGAAACACTTGAGACATCCGCGGAAAGACTTGTGATTCTTCGYTTGCAGGTAACGTCACAGCGGCCATCTAGGAGGAACTTTAACAAAAGATTTCTCATTAGTATCTAGTGTTCATTCCTCCAACATGGCCRCCGGTATTTTATCTTTGAATCTCATGGGAATGGGTGAAAATGACCAATGCAATGCATTTTGGATAAATGAGTAAACAAGGGAGCAACGATGTCAGTCTCCAGTTGTCTGTGACGCAGACTTAGTTTCAACGAAAAATATTGGGAAATATATTGACATTGTAGTTAATCTCAGAAGCATACTGCGAAAATACAAACAAACGTCAACAAGCAATAGGAAATACAGCAACAAAAATCTCAAAAATAATGTACAGTTAATCGAGAAATTCTTTTTACTAGGCAAATCAAGCAAAAATGAAAACAAGCATATTTTGTCTGTGGAAAAATCGAAACTAATTAGTTTTTACGATCTTACCGATTTTTTTTTAATGAAGAAGGTGAGATTTATATCCTATGATATAAACCGATTCAAAATGGTGGGATTGTAATATGGACTAGTTGACGCCTGTGGCATTTTTGGCCGAGAGACTTGTTGATCTTTTCCAACAAATATGAACGAAACACGCATCACATGCTAAAAACAAATTTCAAATGCCCCTAACTATGGAAATTCGATTAAAAATCAAGTGTTTTTCATTGAAGCGCTTACGAGTAAAATGTCTACTAGTTTTAATCGAAAAATGAGTTCTACGAATTAATCTAGTTGCACTTCAAGCTATTTATTCAGGTCAATCCCCCCATTAATTTGTTTATTTTGCATTCATCCATCCATTAACTTGTTTATTTTGCATTCATCCATCCATTAATTTGTTTATTTTGCATTCATTCATCATTAATTTGTTTATACAGTATCCATTTGGTTATTTATCTATCTATCTCACATTCTCAATTTTAATTTCATTTCCCAGTTTTCTTAGAAACAGTAGCTATTATTGTGTTCTTGAATGGGTCAGGGCCGGTCAGTATCACATGATGTTGAACTGACTTCAAAGAAAGTTTGTGCTTTCCATAAATAAATTAAATAAATAAGACATGATCAAATTGACATCGGTATCGAAACAAGTGATATTGAAAGTCAATATACTATCAACAATGACCAAGGGCAATTTCCTATAGATAGAGATGACATGTGATCCATCGTTTTTGGTTTCATTATTTGTCTAACAACGGCGGGAGAGGACTTTCTTTATTATCCTTATTGTATCCTTCATGCTTAGAACTCGACCATCATGTCAAATAATGAGGAATGTAGTCTGCAACTAGTGGAAGGGCTAGTTTTGATAGTGATTAATGTTCTTCTGGTTGTCATTGGAACTTTTGGTAACGTTTTAACGATCTTAGCTGTCTTAAAGACACCTCAGCTCAGACAAAGACCGTCCAACTTTCTCCTTCTAAGTTTAGCAGTTGCTGATGTGTTGGTGACAACAATTTCTCAACCATTTACGGTGGCCATATTTTAYCTAAAGACATTCCCTGGACAATGTAATAGTGTACTGGAGTTGTTGTATACCATTAGTGTGTCTTTACCAGGMTGTAGTTCAGTTTTTCACYTATCAGCCATCAGTATTGATCGWGCCATTTCTATGGTTAAACCATTCCAACACCGCGATATCATAGCAAAATGGCTGAAACGAATTCTTGGAACTTGTTGGGCAATTTCTGTCGCGTTTACCATCTTCAATTCTTTGTGGTTTCAAGAAGGAAGAAAAGCAATTTCAGTGATATTTTTTGCGTGTTTTCTTACAATGGCTATTTCTTATGGGATCATCCTTTACAAGATAAAGTATAATAATAACATTCAAAGTACTCAAGACAACGGAGGTGCACGCGATAGGATCATAGAAAAACGAGTATCTTGTACAGTTGCAATAGTAATTCTTTTATATCTYGGATGTTGGCTTCCTCTAGTCGGGTATACTCTTCTACAAAACACCGATGCTGTCTTATATGCTGGCGTCCGCACTCTTTATTTGGCCAATTCATCAATGAACTTTGTGGTATATAGTTTAAGGATTCGAGCTTTTCGTGTTGCATATCTAAGACTTATGCGAAAAATGCAACGGCAAATTGCTGGAGGACTATACTGTTGCGGTGGCATTGGCGATGCAACGAGCGAATCGCATGGCACAACAGAATTTGAACTAAACGAGAATACAGGAGGACACTCCGTAAATTCATAAACACATTGCTCTATCCTGTATACACCAGGACACAGTCTACAGTCTTGAGCCTGGCAAAGAATAAATATTTTGTTTTGATCGTAGTGAAAACGTGTGGAGTGATTGCAGGAAATTTGTTAGTATTTCACGAATAATAGCCTAAGACACAGGGAGCCCAATTCTCCAAATAGCATTACTTGAATATTGATCTTAAGCTTTAATACTACCATCAGTATTACATCTTATAAATTATTGTAAGACTACTTCATTTATCTACAAAGTCAGTTTTATTGAACTATATTTTTCTAAGCATATAAATTAATTGATTAAATTGATAAGATAAAAAGAGATAAATTAAAAGATAAAACTTGAAAAACGAAAAGAAAACAGAACAATTAATTAACTCTATCGAAACTTATAGAAAAAGAAAAAAATATTTAAACAACAAGAGAAAAAAATCTACTAATCACGCGGGGTTTAAAAACCTTGAAAAAAGATTGGGACAGTTTCCCCCGAGACATTTTGTAAAGCTCGATTACATTCCGGTTAGAGATATCGCCTTGCCATTGGCTTAACTTAGCGCTAAATAAAATGCCATTTGGGAAGAAGATAATCGGTTCAAAGACCATAGATGATTAATCCCTTGCATTAACTAGGCAACTATCGAAAATATAATGTCAAATTGGGGTAGTATAATCAGACTATAGTAGCCAGCCCGTGGCGCGTTTGGATGAGGCGCGCAATGTGAGATGGGAGATCGATACTCCACGYTGCTTTAGTTTGTCTTTGCCTTTTAATTCTCTTTTCTTATATCTATCTGTTATTTTTTTTTCTTTTCACCCTTGCTTTTTTTTACTTTTCATTTCACTTTTTTAATCAATGTTTGTTTTGATTTAATCACACGACAGGCAAGTTTACCTGCATCAAAAACACATCAATAATCGTAGATAATGTATATGTTCAAATGTGTTTAGACTTATTAGCTCTGATAAATATTTAAACAGGAATTTTATGAATGCGGAAGTTAAATGTCTATGAGGTCTGCTTTCTGCGGCTGCTTGTTATAGATTAGCGATATGCCTCAAGRTATCACGGGACGCCGCCGACGTATGGCTAACGTGTAGACGCACGATATGCTCTCCTTAAAACCATATAAACAAACAACTTGTTCTAGAGCATACACGTAAATTATGTTGCTATTTTGGTAAAAACAAACTCTGGTTTGAGGATTTTGAGGGGTAAACTGTGGTGGAGGCGGGTGTAACTGATCCGAAGGAAGAATTCTAGTATCGTCAAAATATCAGTTGTACAATAAACAACAATAGCCGACTTGCGAATTACGCATCAATAGTCACATACAAAGGAATCAGGACGAGGCGCCGTGCTTTTTTGTGAAAAATCCATTGTCTTTAGCACGGCGCCTCGTCTTGATTCCTTTGTATGTGACTATTGATGCGTAATTCGCAAGTCGGCTATTGTATTCACGGATTTAGTTTTGCTCTGTTCCAAGACCTAAAGCTTATTACAAACTAATTCATTATCAAACTAGGATATATTTTTGTACCTAATTTAGTTACGCAAGTCACAGGCCACACTTCCTGCTTGCTCGGCTCTTCTTCCTTCTGTTTTATATTTTATTTTTCAAAGATTTCAAATGTATTCATTGTCAAAACTACGAAAAAAACACTGATACAAACAGTTTTCTTGCCTTATAGTTACAAGACGTCATTTTATTTTTTTCTTTTCCATTCTATCCTCTATGCCCTCTTCCTTCCCTCTTCAAAATCTGCTTCCCGTCTCTTCTTTTTGCTTTGCTTATTGCGCCTCATCCCTGAAAATACTAGAACTTTATCAATGTCCGGCAACAATGCCAAGTGTTTTAGTATTACCGAGAACAGAATATTAATATAATTCAGAATAATATTGATTGAGATAATAGAAAAGCTTTTGCGYCAGTATACTGGTTGATTTCCGCCTGAATCACCCTGCAAATTGAAACTGCCATATTTTGCATKATCAAAAATCGCACAAGCAAATCTTTCACTTTTTTAACACCTCTCCTCTCTCAGCGTTGCTTGATGCTTGCGAGTTCTATATCAATATAGTGGGGAACCGGGGCTTTTTTTGAACAGTTTAGAACGAGTGCGAATTATATTAGAGTCTGTTGAGTACCATACAGTCTTGCCAAACAATTTTGGCAACGATTGTGAGCTTTTATATATGCCGTCTACCGAGACAACAGAACTAGTAACATCAGGAAAAGAACTCCAAGCGACGCGAGCGGTATAAAAAATTACCGAATATGGTTAAAAAACAAGAGAGTTTAGAAGTTAGGAGACACACTGAAATGCGGAAGCTAACCTAGATCAATTATTTACCTACCAATCTGCGACGGATTATTATGCAACAATTGACCTACGCTTTGTGATCTCAGGGCAGAATTTGCTGAAACCGAACAACATTACGTGGGGGAGTGGATTAGGGGAAACAAAAGTACTTGCTTCAAATATATAGTACATTGCAAAAAATAGCCAGCAACGGTAGAAAAAGTACAATCGAGTCGACTCAATGATTGACAAATCTWATGGTGTGACAGTTGACAGCGGACGAAGCGGGTCACTCATCCATTCCATCATGAAAACGCGATTGTAGCTACTAAATGAGGTTCAAAGAT